CTAAATCCTAACTGACTAAATTGTATTTTAGTTTAATATAGTTTGAAACCTAGTAATTTCCATCGAAGTTTACACAGGCGGGTTGCGTCAGGGGGGTAAGTGGATTTGTGCTTGCCATTGAGTCGAGCTGTATTCCCAGGCAACCTCCGAGGTAGTCCGTGAATGGTCGCGCGGGGAGCAGGCCGCAAAAGTAAAGTAAGTTAGTTTGATGTTTGGGAAACCGAGGGTATTTAGTGCCTGTGATGATGGCTGCTGCTTGAATGAGTACTGAGTTAAAGCGCTCGAATAGGGGGTCCAACGCATCCTTCCATATAGGCGGAGCCCAGGCAATAATGTTGAGCCCATATGTAGCCGTGGATAGGATGAATGTTTTGAACATCACCAGTCGGTTGCGGGGGTGTCGCCAGCTGAAGCCATGGAAGCCATAAGCGCGGAAAGAGGCGATACCCAATGACAATGCTGCAACCAGGGATTTCATATGTCTAGCGAGGTTGATTCCTGGTACTCCGTGAGAGAGTGGGAACCCCAGGTATTTGGAGTGTTTCGGTTTGGCATGTGTGGGCGCCAGATTCAGGGGGAGGTAACGTGTGTTCCAAGGTGCGTCTGCAAGCGTCGGCGTGAAAAGCTCACCATTTATACGGAGGGTTGGCCCTAAAAAACCCTGTTCGAGGCCAGATTTGCGTCCACACGCATCAATGTCATCTAAGAAAAGCTGGATCGAAACCGATCGAGAGGCTTGGATCCGTGTGTCATCGATAAATGAACAAGAGCGGAGGAGGTTGGGCCAAAAATTGTGCTAGCGTGACAGCTAAGGAATCCATGTAGATAATAAAGAGCTGGGAGCCGACGATTGAGCCTTGTAGGTTGCCATTCGTTCTATTGAATACAGACGAGAGCATGCCGCGGAATGTCACTCGGGTAGGGACCCTCCCAAACAGCGCGCGGAGGCAGTTGATCCAGGTTTCGGGCATTCCAGAGTGACGCAGAAGTACCTATAGTCGTGGGAGCGCGACCTTGTCATATGCCTTGGTTATGTTCAGACAGACGTCGTACCACTCCTCTTCTGACTGTGTCTCAGATTCCATGGCAGCAAGTGCTTGGGTATGACAGGAGTACCGTGATTTGAAGCCAACTTGTGTAGCATGGGTAGCAGAGCCGGGGTGGCTCGTAGTCAGATTAAGAAAGCACTTTTCAAAGATGCGTCTGACTATTTGCGTAAGCGTGATGGGGCGGAAGTCGGCGGGGGAGGTGATATCTGCATCGGATTTCTTTGGGTGCGATGTCAGGAGACTGCAGTTCAGGGCTGCGGGGAAGGTACCCGCCTTCAGTAGTTCAGTGAATGCTTCGGCCAGGAGTCTAATCAGTGGGCTATTGGCGTCGGGGCGGCCTAATGTCCGGCGTTCAGTAGAGCGCTCCACTGCGGCATTCAGGAGGAGGATGTGGATCCCGTCGGGGCCGGGTCCCTTATTAGGATAGCGCAGTATTGCCTCCATAACATCGTCGGGGCGTAAGGTGGAAGTGACATCAGGAGAGGGTTCGGTATCCGGTGGAACCACGTACGGGTTTGTAGAGTTGAATAGGGCCTCAAAGTAGCCAGCGAGGGTAGCGCCTGTGTCATCGGTACCCGGTATGCAGGGTTGGCGCATCTACTATGCTCTTTGAAAATGGTTTTATTTAGTAGGCTATGTATCAATACAAAGTAACGGGCTATTTACTTCTTATTTAGTGTGGACTGCCTGTGAATTACGAATAGTTAGACGGTTAAGTATCGCCTATTTTGTATTATTTACTCTTGATGGGCTATACTGTCTACAGTGTCACTACGTATTTCTACTTTATTACAATATTTTAAACTTTCTTGAACCAATGAAATTACGTAATGAAGCAATTTTTATTCATTTCAGGCCAATGAGTTCCCTTCGTTTTATCTATCATCACATGTTTTCATTTTTTATACTTGTATTTATTTTTTATAAAATCAAACTTATTTTGAGTTGTGTGAGATAAATTTCAAAAACAACAACAAAATAGTAGCGAGGACAGTCAATTTAGCGAATTGACGGTATTTTAAAATTAATATTTACTCTTTTAGAAGTAAATATTTATCGATGCCCGATGGATGGAGCTGTGAAGCCTGAGGGTCAAACCGTCAAGGGATCCTATTATCTATTATTTTCATTTTTAAATAAAAATTCTGTTCTTTTTCTCTTCTCGATGGTGTTGTGACTTGTGAGCCGGTGAGTCTGTGACTGTGGGTCTGTGTCTCGTGAGGACAGTGAGCCTGTGGGTCTGTGTCTCTGTGAGGACAGTGAGCCGTGACGAGGAGACAGTGAGACACAGTCACCCTGAGTTTAATATTTATAAAAAATTTAAATTTTTATATAGGTCGATTTCGTCGCACAGGTTGTGAAGAACAAGAACTGAAGAAAAAAGGCCTAATAAAGTCTAAATACTCGCTACTGCAGCTGTTGGGTAGACAAATGTCTATCTCATTGCTTCCTACGCGGAGCAAGCCTCAAATATTCGTCAAACGTATACTCAACCCCTTTACCGAGGTCGCGTTGAGAAAAAAACTAATTGTTTTAGGGTTTAGTTGAAACAGTGTAAATTTGCGGCTGCGAGTTTTGACCGGCACATTAGCATTAGCGATCAAATATTTGCTGACATTAGCGAAACTACTCTCTCCAATTTAGCGAAGGCATGATATGGTAGTTCCAAAATATTGGGCTATTACTATAAAACTTGCAACCAGAAATCTGGGAGGTACAAACGAGTCTGAATTGTCAATATAAGAGCGAACTATGTGACATATTCATGCTACGACATTATTTGTTGTACGTTGATTTGAATTTCCCCACGATATGTGTCGCTGCCAGTTCAAATTTGGTAATATATTGACATGAATGGCTGATTTTGTAGCGAAATACAAAATTGAATAAATCGGCATCGTTGCCACTGTCGACCAATATAAATAATTCTAAGTAAGGTTCAGTTCCATGAGTGGGGCACGGCCTTGGATCTCTCATGGTGTACGCTTGCCCTATGTTTTCAAACACAATTCAACTACTTTACTTACAAAAATGCAGTCGTCAGAGGAAGTGAACTTACTCTGTGAGCTCAGCGCTTGAAATGATAAAAATCTTGGTACTCTTTTAATAGATTGAAAATGCACTTTGACCCTGACGATGTCTTTTATGCACTGTGCGGATCTCGATTCGCTATTGAGTACGCATCGGATGGTACCTCAGTTTGCACGGGAGCTTGCAGCGAGATCATACCTACTGGTTGTATCAGACTCGGGGCATCCAACGAGCTTGACAATAGCGGTACTTATGCATGGAGGTATGTAAGTTATGCATGAAGGTAAGTATATGCATGGAGGTACGATATAGTTATCATAAATATATGTGAGCACAGCCAAACATACAACACAAGGTGCTATTTTCTATGTTTCCATACGTTTATGTGGATAACTCATGTATACATGATAGAGGCGCGATAGACTGAGCGAGCTATAGATTGGATCCGAAATACAATATGCATATTTAGAAAACAATACAATATACTTTATAGAAATCTTATTACATATTTTATAGAATGCATGTCTAACTTCATTAGCTTTTTTCCACGTGAGTATCAAATTTGCTCTTTATTGTGCATCTATATGCCTTATAAACCTTTATAGTACACTATTAGTTCCATCTATAAAAAACACAGGTTATTTAAAATAAGTGCTATCGTCAAGAAGTTTCAGAACAAATCCATTATATTTCATGCTTTTGGGTCTGTAATTATTTGATCACCACAGGTGCGTCGACTGCTTGACTCGCGACCTACTAGAGGAAGTTAGGAACCTGTACACCTTCACGTACTTATGTCCGGGGATGGATCATCTGGGTGTTCACGATCGCGAATACGTGGTAGAGGCAACGGAGGACGTATTATATCCTAGAGAAGGTAAGTACGCGGTAGAGGCAATGGAGGACGTATTATATCCTAGAGAAGGCAAGTACGTGGTAGAGGCAATGGAGGACGTATTACATCCTAGAGAAGGTAAGTACGTGGTAGAGGCAATGGAGGACGTATTACATCATAGAGAAGGTAAGACACTCACGTTCAGTGACACTTTAGATGTCGACGTTACACCGGATCACCATACTGTCAACCGATCTCCTGTTCGCACACGATGGCAAACGTTAAACCCTATTAAATGCAAACATACACGAATCGCGCACATATGCAGATGTACTAGCAGTGGACCCTGCTATATCGCTGGCTTCACCTACGCCAGAAAAGTTTTTAGGGTTTAGCGCTGTATCGCTGGCTTCTCCTACGCCAGAAAAGTCTGCGTCGAAGATCCAGGTACAGCCACAGTCATCGCCAAGGATTCCACTGAAAACGTATAATCTGAGAACCCGACACGGCAGAATCAACACATACGAGAGTCCAACCTCGCAAGACTTTGCGTCTGATAGCAGCTCCGATTATGAGGCCTATACACGCACCACTGATGTGACTGGGCACCCTAAGCACGCCGGAGGAAGTGACGCGCGGATGACACGCTTTATCAAGCATACACCGCGAAAGGTGAACAATAAAATGAGATCACACAGTACAGGTAGACGGTCCCATGCAAGGCACAACCAGTCAGACTCCGCAGACGAGTTATTCATAGAGCCTCAACGGTATCAATGGTCTCGGAGCAAGAGAAGGAAGTACAAGGATGAGTCACGTGACAACCTATCAATGCCAAAACAGGCAACAGCCCCACCACACATGGGTGACAGAGGCACACGCACGGGATGTATGGCAATTGACAACAAAGACAACGACAACGGCGACAGAGGACATTGGCGCACACGCAGCACCACACAGGTGCAAATGATTGAACAAGACAGGGACACAGCCAACGCCTTACAACAGACAATGGGATCACTCCACAGGGACAGTGGGCACCACAAGGCACGGGACGTCACCGCAGGTGAGGCTCAGAACAACAGCAGCATAGGTGGTCTTACCAACAGCCGCAGTGAGCGGATGCATCAGTTCATGTCATTCTATATGCACAACGCCAACAATGCGCTACTGACAGCTGCCACGTCCAAGACGAACCACAGGCCACACTCTGGCACCCCAGGCAAGGCACGCACGAAAACACTCCCAACGGATGACTCAGCACACAAGCAAGCAGGCAAACGCTCACAGAAAACAACCCGGGCGACACATCATCACGAAGGCAGCAGGACACACTACAACACATGCACGCAATCATACAGCAGCGGTGATCTCTGGCAACCCAATTCAACAGCCGGCGACTCAGTCGAGTCACTTGCACCTCAGCACAACACACAGCAGCACACCAAACACCCCACAGCAGCACATGGCCACAGGCACCGATCCAGAACTGCACAACAGCAGATCATACACACAGGCACCAGAAACACACCACACACCATGCACACAAGCTCACCGAAGAGACTCTCGCACAAACATCCAACCACAGAGACACATACAGCGACAGCAGTACACGCGCAGGCAATGGGCACAGCAGTGGATGGCCGGCCATCAGGTGCACTCAGAACAACGGGAGAATCACCTGATGTGTCACAGGGGAGTGACAACAGCCACGACGCAGATGACAACCACGCAACAGTGGACAGCAGGGTTTTAGGGTTTTACACACGCCAAGACTCTGAGCAGAGACACCGGGGGATGCTACAGGGGAACCATATAATGGGGACCACACCAACAGCACAGGCAGTGGACAAGAAACCAAAGGAAAGTGCGAACTTGGCATGGGATTTCGACAAAATGACGGCACGCGCAGAAAAGCTCAAGCTACATTTGGCAAAGGTCTGTCGAAGAAGAGATTTGGATGGGAACCACAACGAGGGTAGAAGCACACAACCACACAGGCGTAGCACACAACCACACAACCGTAGCACACAGCCACACAACCCTGTACGTGTGCATGTATTCGTGCACACCCCAAACAGTTCACCGTCCAAACCAGCAACGAACACCGTTGCAAGGCAGCCGGGAAATGCCGAGACAATCACATGCACACACGAGCCACACCATAACGCACACATCACAAGCAACGAATGAGGGCAATAGCCATTGCAGGAAATCCATCACACGAAACTGCGCAGTCGATGCAGACTCCCGCAGCACTATGCAAGGCAGCAAGCGGTTGCCACTCAGCACCTCACACCAACAGCCAGACAATCACCGGACATACAAACAGCACTCGCACGTGGCCACAGATCACCATGGCAACAGCACATACGCACCAGCAGTCTCAGGGGCATATGGTGCAGCTATTGGACTGTCAGACGACGAGGGAGTGATCGATGTGGACATATGCCACAGCCGCAGCCAATGGCAGCGCAAGGCAGGCCATGGCAAACAAAGACACGTGACACGTGACACCACGCACGGGCGCAGCACAGACGGCCATGGCCAGGACAACGGATCCATCAGCGAATACAACAACGACTGCAGCAACAACTGCAGCAACAACTGCAGCAACGAATGAAGCAATGGGAACACACCCAGACACCACAACGCACACAGACGCAATCCATTGGCAGTGGATGAAAACCGGCAATGAGCATAACGCACCAACGCAACTACAGCAACAGAAGAGGCGATGGGTAACCATTGACCACTCAAGACCACACACACACACGCACCACCAGCAAGGCACACGCACACACACGCTTACACCACCACAGGCACAGCTGCGAAACAGCAGCACGCCCGGCACTCTCACACACACAACACACCCCGCAACACTCCCAGCATCACACCACTACCAAAACAACTACAACAACAATAACAACAACAACTACCACCACAACAATAACAACAACTATCACAACAACAACTACTACTATAACAACCATAACTACCACAACAACCACCACATGGGAAGCAAACTAAAGCATGGGCGACATAAGGTGCAGCAGCCACAGATGTCCGCCAATGCAAAGTTCCTGACACGACCTTCGCTGCGGTCCAGAAAAGGTCTCTTTCAGCTGAGTGCGCTGCAGGTCTACTGGCAGTGAACAGTACACGCGTGTGTGGGGATGTATATGTCTTGTGTGAGTGTGTATATGTCTTATGTGGGTGTGTGTATGTCTTATGTGAGTGTGTATATGTCTTATGTGGGTGTGTGTATGTCTTATGTGAGTGTGTATATGTCTTACGTGAGTGTGTATATGTGTTATGGAGTATGTATACGTCTTGTGTTATGTGATTGAAGCGCAGGCTGATCAGTGCGGAAGAAGCGAATGCGGCCGTGTGTATGTGCGGCGGCAGTCTGCATAAACGGGGGACTGTTCAAGGGAAAGGGCCAACGGATATAAATGGATCACAAACGAACGATCCAATTCCAAGCACAGAGCCATTCAACAATTGATAATTCACAATCAATCATTCTCCGCAAAGCGAAGGCTGTATTGCACTCAGGTGGCAACAACTAAAGTGGGAACGATTGGGTGCCTACACCGACTGAGAATGAAGCGGATGTGGAAGGGATTCAGAGGGTATGGATACGCAGACTATATGATAAATGCTGCCCTGCACGACTTATAATGTTACAACGGCAAACGTCCTCAAGCGGACGATCAACCCAAATATAACAACACCATAACGACATAATAAAAACCCAAATATTACAACACCATAACGACTAAAACCCTAAAACATATCAACACTATAACGACAATAGAAACAGAGAACTCAAACTCAGAATCCAAATACACGAGTGTATATGTGTACCACAGCCACAGCAGTCAATCGTACAATTCAGTGCTCACCAATCGACTTTAATATTTTATACTGAATACATTGAACATATTGAATGTATTGACTTTGTTGAACTTATACTGAATACATTGATTATATTGAATATATTGACTCTAATAGTATCATACTGAGTATCATACTGAATAAATTGATTGTATTGAATATATTGAATATATTGATTATGTTATTATATTGAATATATAATCAGTATATTGATTATACTGACTATAGTGATTCTATTGATCATATTGCTCGGCGGTTCGTTGCGATGGAATGGCGATCACGTAGAATTCGCAATCTTGTGTATCGGATACGGAACGATTTATTTTATCAATTATTGGCGCAGCGCTCAGCCAAAACCAATTTGCACCACTGGAAACGCAGAGATTCTAAGTACGACAAAGATTCCATCGTAGTGCTGCACCGACGCTCACTTGTGACGCCCACTTGTATCCGGTCCATTTGGAAACAACATTTGTAATGGTCCTCTTGTATTGTTTAGAGCGCTATGCATTCGTACGGTCCAAGCACCCCTCAAGGTTCAACACAATCAACACTAATTACTATCACTCGGTGGTGGTGCAACCACGATATAAACATGGTTCTATGTCTTTTCAAGCCTTACTTCGTCCGTATCGAGCCCAGAGTGAATATGAATGTCTTTCAAAGGGACACTATGGTGCACACAGATGATTATTCAACTGGGGAGAATGGCGGAGCAAGCGCACAGCATATCAGGATAACATGTAGAACAGCCGTCTACACCACACAGCAGGACTAACATGAGACCACACACGAGCGAACAGAAAGGCAAACGAAAGATACTCCAACGCACCCGAATGACGTACCGAACGCGTCCATGCATGTCACATGTGGTGATGAGACTATTTAGCAAGCCACGAGGGTTTAAAGTTTTCAGTATACAGCACAATGCGTAACACTAGATAGTGCAGATGACTGCAGATGACTGCAGATGCTGCAGGTGATTTGGTCTGGTCTGGTTTATTCCCTGGCTTCCCCATTGGCCCACTTCCTGGTCGCAATTGAGAGCAGTGATCTAAATTACGTTGTTTGGGTTGGCAGTACCCCTCAATAGAAGCGAGTGCGCACCAGATGAATAGGCACGTGCGCCATGTCGTGACTGTACTGTTTGGCATAGTCCCACAGATAGAAGTCAAGTAGGATCGAATTGAGTTCACTCGCACACCCCTGTCGACGCATCTCTCGCTTCACCAATTCAACCGCCCAAATGGAACATCCCCGGACTTCGGCTTCTCGGGGATCTCCCGTTTGCCATAGCGACCCACTCTTCATGTCTGCGGTCAGCTCCTCTGTATACTCCATCAGTCCTAGATACACCAGCACCTATGAGCATGGGCGTAGCACATGTCAGCAAACCAAATCAGAAATCCTACAATACACTTATGGTATGAGGTGAATGCCATGACAAACCCTGCAATACATTTATGGTATGAGGTGGATGTCATGACAAACCTTACAATACATTCATGGTATGAGGTGGATGTCATGACAAACCCTACAATACATTCATAGAATGAGGTGGATGTCATGGCAAACCCTACAATACATTTATGGTATGAGATGGATGTCATGACAAACCCTACAATACATTTATGGTATGAGGTGGATGTCATGGTAAACCCTACAATACGTTTATGGTATGAGGTGGATGTCATGAAAAAGGCCTAACGTGTCCACACTGTGGAGCATGAGCCATCACACAGTCTGTGCCAGCGATCGAATAGCCATTGTCACTTCACACCGACCAGGAATGTCACGGCGCAATCTTGATTACAGCAGTTAGTGGTTAGTCTGCTAGTGAGTTAAATACCATACATCCCAACCCATGCATCCTCGCAAATACATATAGTACTACAGTTGCTCACACGGTGCACATACATAGAGTACAACAGTTGCTCACACGTTGTCTGACATGTGACAGCACTCAACAAATACACTTCAGATGATAGTCTTTGTCTCAAAGGACGCTAACACTAACACACACGACGCGGCAATGAACAGCAACTCGGTTGTGTGCTTATGCCTTTGCAAACTCACAACTGTCGGCTGGCATCAGCCATGCACTGTCAACCCATCCGCTGTGAACGGTTGCCATGGAGATATGACACATGCGTGCAGTCAGACAAATGTCCACATGGCAGAGAAGCGTTTACGAGCAGAAGAATAGAGGTGCATTGACGATTACACAAATGATGTGAGACTTCGCACACAATTGGGGCGATGGCGTTTGTGTGCGGAGTCGGATGCCTATATGTATGAACACGCACGCACGTGCCACAGGCGACTGCAATGCCCATCGGTCAACCCTTGAGCACTTGCACGCAGAGGGTGTGTTCTCTGTGATGCATGTCACCGCACAACACACTTGAGTGGTGACGAGGGGCGTTGTGTTGTGTTTGACAGGGCAGGGGTTTGGAGGTTTAGGGTTTCGAGTTTTAGGGTGTTAGGGTTTAGAGTTTTAGGGTTCAGAGGTTTAGGGGTTTAGCACTCACCTGAGGCACACGGTAGTCGGCGAACATAGTAATGCACTCGATGTCAGAGAAGTGGCCATAGCCCGTCTGCTCAAAACACGCCCACACATCAGCTACGAAGATCTGCGCACGTTTGTAGAAAGCGCACTCTGCCAAAAGGAATAATATGAAATGGACAAGTCAGTTGGGTTTTAGAGGTTTTTAGGGCTTAGGGTTTTAGGTTTTTGGACAAGTCAGTTGAAAGCACACTCGGCCAAAGGGAATAGTATGAAATGGACAAGTCAGTTGAATGCACCAGACAAGACACAGACGAGCGATAAATGCTCCAGACCTAGCACGTGAGAGACACCGGTGCTACGCTGTACGCACTTCACACACCTCTCTTCCTGTATGTGCTGATGTCATTGTAGCAGGGGAACTTAATGGCCATCGTATACACAAGTGTTATACTACATGCTCACAAGTCTTACATTAGCGTTGTATGCAATTCACACACCTTTCGCCCTGTATGTGCTGATGTCGTTGTAGCAGGGGTACTTGGTGGCCATGGTATTCACGAGTGTTGTACTATATGCTCACATGTCTTACATTAAGCGTTGTATGCAATTCACACACCTCTCTTCCTGTATGTGCTGATGTCGTTGTAGCAGGGGACTTGGTGATCATGGTATTCACGAGTGTTGTACTATATGCTCACACGTCTTACATTAAGCATTGTATATGAAATTCACACACCTCTCTCCCTGTATATGCTGATATCGTTGTAGCAGGGGAACTTGGTGACCATCGTATTCACGAGTGTTATACTATATGCTCATATGTCTTACATTAAGCATTATATGTAATTCACACACCTCGCTCCCTGTATGTGCTGATGTCGTTGTAGCAGGGGAACTTGGTGACCATGGTATTCATGAGTGTTTCGGCAGATCCGTTACAGCTCGCTATCAACTCAGACACCTGAAAAGTTACGATGGCGTCGCATCAGTCACGGACAGAACACGTCCGAGTGTATATGTGTGGCCACGAGAATGTGCCGAAACCCAGAACCCAAACTAAAAGTATATGAAAGACTGTGCACAGCTAAGGAGACTATGCACCAAACCCTAAACCTCAAAACAGCTGCAGCATACACACACATCAGCACACAACACCAAAAACACACACACGACACACAACACACAAAATAACACAACAGACACACAAACACACACACACACACACACGCACAAAAACAAAACAAACACACACACACACACACAAACACAAGCATAAACAGATATAACATACACTCAAACGGCACACACGTCAGTGCAAGACACAAACACAGACACGTTTATAATGAATCTTATAGTTTTAGTACGGACATGCATGCGTAGAAAGTGATACCTTGCAATTATAAGCTCGCAGCAGCTCAGTGCCGCATTGCGTGGGATGCTCATGGCGCATGCAAGTACAAATATATACGTATGCCCACCATGCATTGCTCAAGCACACACATGCATGAATAGACAGTGGTGCAACCATATGGGCGTGGACACGTGCATGTGTATATAGTGGTACATGCACATGTGTACATACACACCTGCAGAGTAGACAATGGTACATAGATACGTACACATACACATACATGAGCAGGCAGAAGTGCAGACATATGGGCATGTACTCGTGCATGTGTATATGATATACACGTGTGTGTATATATAAAATACACGTGCATGCGTATATAATATACACATGTATGTGTATATAGTGGTGCATACATACGTGTGCTGATGGCTGTGTAGAGAGGTGCTGTGTGCGTGCGTGATACCTTGCCCTTGTAGTCCTTTAGCAGCACCTGCCCGCATTGCGTGAGGTGTTCGTGGCGGTAGTGCAGCAGTGGCGGTGGTTCGGTTGAGTCTGAGCGGAACACGTGCGCCACTTGTTGTTCGGTACTGTGTGCGTAGTACGATGGCGTAGTGATGGGAATGCCCTCGTCCAGTGCTCGGTTGATGGCCGCGCACAAGGCCCAATAACTGGGGCAGGGACAGGGCAGTTAGTACGGGAGATAGGGTTTAGGGGTTTAGTAAGCCCTAGAACGCTAAAAGCCAATGAAGTGTCTGCGTGTTACAGTGCGGTTGTGCTGTAGTGTCGTGCGCAATGAGAGACGTAGTTGCACTAGTGATGGAGAGGTCTGAGATATTGATCTTATTGAAGGGGGTCAGGAACCCTATATAAAGGCTAAATCCTAAACCTTGAATGGGGGAAATAAACCCTAAACTCAAACAGGCGGTTAAACCCTAAAGCCTGAATTGTATACTTTTGCTACTTAATTAGTTAAGTGTCAAACAAAGTACTCCGGCGTAGATATATCTTCAGGTCTTTTGGTACAGATGAACGGAAGTGGAGCAAATAGGTGCGCTATTGTAATTAACACACTATATATCATACAACTCCATGCAATGAGCACGTAAGTAACACACTATATATCATACAACCCCATGCAATGAGCAGGCACAGGCACTAGGCAGACATGTGCACTCGCACTACAACACGGCAAACACAGGCAAGACACATCAACAAGACGATTGCGCACACACACACTACGACACACCACGTACACTCAATACCATACAATGCATGATACATAGACGTAGACTACCAACACAAACCCAACCATGTCCATCCAGCGGATGGCTTCATGAAAGTGCGTATAGAATGTATGTGGTTTAGGGTTTAGGGTTTATGGTTTAGAGTATCAGTGTCACGCGGTTTGTATGTCTGTCACAGTTTCAAGTGGTGTGTGACATGCTACCCATGTGCGCACATGTCCATACCCAGTGTATGGCTTTATGAAAGTGCGTATAAACTGTATGGGTATCAGAGTGTAGGGTATTAGGGTTTAGGGTTTGTGACATGTTACCCATGTGCGCACATGTCCATACCCAGTGTATGGCTTTATGAAAGTGCGTATAAACTGTATGGGTTTTAGGGTGTATAGTTTAGGGTTTGTGACATGCTACCCATGTGCGCACATGTCCATACTCTGTGTATGGCTTTATGAAAGTGCGTATAAACTGTATGGGTTTTAGGGTGTATGGTTTAGGGTTTAGGGTTTGTGACATGCTACCCATGTGCGCAGATGTCCATACCCAGTGTATGGCTTGTTGCGATAGATGACGGTGTACAGCGTGTCTGTAGCGGACCAGAAGGAGAAGTTGAGCGTATCAATCACAAAGATCCAATTGAGCGCATTATCATCGGCCACATCTGGATGCAGCTCATGTTGCTGTGCAGAGGACGAGAGAATGCGTATGAATCATTACCAACCAACCATTGGCCAGTGCACACACCGACGTTGATCAAGCAGAGACACACGCACAGCACAGATGTGTGGCGATGGGGTGCCAGCGGTGACTGTACATGCAAGCAGACACCACAGGTATTGTATATAATTAAATGCCACCGATATCATTTATATACACAAATGCCACAGATATCATGTATGTGAAAATGCCACAGATATCATATATAGACAAATACCACAGATAAAATGTATACACAAATGCCACAGGTATTTATATATACATAAATGTCACAGATATTTATATATATATACACAAATGCCAAAGATATCATATATACTCTGATAGTGTCACTCGCTAGTCACTGATAGCACCTCTTCCAATGACTGTACCAGCCCAGTCCTGCACCAGCAGGCTAAGACAACTGTCGAGGGTATAGGGGTTAGGGGTTAGGGTTTAGGAAACACACATCACAAAACAACACACACATCACAGACACACAACGCACACACTCACACAACAAACACACACAACACACAAAAACAACAAAAACACACACAACACACACACACATCGCACCCACACAGATGCACATGCACATCAACGCACAAACACAACAGACACACAGGTGCGCGTGCGTAGCCACACCTTCCAGGCGGCGGTTGAGTAGTTGATAGTCTGTGAGCGTGTGGCGATGGTGTGGGCTGCCTTGGCAATGCCGTGTGGTAATACGTGTACGTGTGTGCTGTTGTCGCTGATGTACTTCGCTGACTGCAGCACAACACCCATGTGCGTGTCAGCACAGCTCTCTGCACCATCGGTTGAGTGAGTGTCGGCGTCGCTGTCTGCGGACTGTTTAGTGACAGGGCACATGTGATGGACGTATGAGCAGAGTGTACTAGGCCTAAACTGTCTAGACGTGCACCATTTAGACTAAAACCCTAAAACCCTAAAACCATTTAGACTCGCGGGTGTTTGTGGTTTCTGCTGACTAGTCGTACCTGTATGAACACGTCAGCTGTGGGCTGTGATGAGTCATAGGCAGAGCAATCGCTCGATAAAGTTTTAGGGTTTAAAGTTTTAGAGTTTTGACATGAACGTTGCACTCGCTATGCGGCAGCAATCGACTGATGGTTAGAACCCCACGGTACACTGCATGCAGTCATGTCATTTGTTGCATATGCAATAAATTCAATTAATTCAATTGATGCAACTCATTTAATTAATTCAATCGATTCAAATAATTCAGTTGATTCAAATAATTCAGTTGATTCAATCGATTCAATCAATTCAATTGATTTACTTGTTAATGTCCTTAGAATATGAGTTGGGCTTGAGCGATGTCATCGATAGTAACGTTGGAGATGATTCTGCTGTGTGAGATTGGCAGCATTCCAGTTTGTGGATTTGCATGCACGTTGATTTTTGTGTGGTGATACAAGTGTCAATAAGTAATCTGTGGTGATATAAGTGTCAATAAGTAATCTGTGGTGATATAAGCGTCAATCAGTAATCTGTGGTGATATAAGTGTCAATAACTAATGGCCACAACAACAGCTGTTTTAAACGCCCATAGCATCAGCTGCTCACTGTTCTGTGCACACATAGCGTGTATGAGCCACATGTGCTGTGCACACATAGCGTGCATGAGCCACATGTGTTATGCCTGCTGTGCATGTCCCTCACCTGCGGCTGCCACACATCATCGCCATGGTCGTCCTGTGCGAGTGCGTTGGGGTTCATCTGTGCACTCCACTGTGCGTGGCTGTGTGTCACTGCGTGTGCTGTTGTGCTGCGTGTGTCTACTGTGTCTGTTGTGGTGTCGTCTGTGTGCTGTTGTGGGCGGCCTGTCGCAGTGGCTGTTTGGGGATGTGAGCGTAGCGCCACAGATGCGAATGAAATGAGTCACGGTGGAATTACGAATACCACAGACCCACAGAACCAATGCATCGGCAGCTGAGCAGAGGTTGAGGGTTTAGCTCTAAAGACAGGTCGTTGGAGTAGACAGAACCGCCAATGGAATACGCCAGTAAGACTACGCCCTACACAGTGCCGTTAGGACAAGGACAGTCATCAACATACACGTAAGGGTTTAGGCAACATTACAGAACCCTAAAAACCCTGTGCAAATATATACATGTACACAAGGAAGAATTTAAAAACCATACAACATGTGCACAAGAAATGACCCAAAACCCATAAAACATGTGCACACGGACATACATAACCGTTTGCAGACACATACGCAGATGGTTGGGTCCCTTTGACGCACCTGAGGTGTGGGTCTGTTGTTTGGAGCCTTCGCCGTCGCGCTTGATCTTCAGTTTGCCTGTAGACGGGTCGATGTTAACCTCCATGCCCAAGTCAGGGTCAACCACTACCTTGTTCTTCTCCATACCTGATGGACCGAATGTTGTGATTATAGGGTTTTAGGGTTTTAGGGTTTGAAGATTAGGGTTTGAGGATTTCCTCGAGTAAAAAACGGTTTGCGCGTGGGGGCGCAGTGTAGGTATCTAGTCAAATCAGCAATTAACCAGATGGTCTGTCACCAGTTGGTATCGATACAGGATATGTGTGACAAAAAGCCGAGTATAGGCGAAAGACATATACACAGATAAGAAACTCTATACAGATACAGCTATAGTACATCCATGCCCAGTTGATTTGGTGTTCAAGTCTTACCTGCCACCAGTTGCTGGTTGCGTTTGTTGCCCTCGAGAGCATTGCGCAGGGCTAGTACGGCCCATTCTTTGATGTAAGGATTCCTGTCGTCCAACTGGCAGTGATTTAAAAATAGAACCAGCCCTTCTGATTCGCGCAGCTGGTCTTGTGCGTGAGAATTTCTGCTGGCCACGTTGCCTAGCAACCGGATGAGGTTGCCCTTCAGTCCATGTGCTGTGGTGTCGGAAATCGTTCGACCTGGTGCAAAAGAAATGGGCCAATGATTTCACAACTCAAGCGCATTTAAACAGATAATGCAACAGCAAGCTGACAAAGAGCGGACAAGTAAGTGTTTCTCGTATATAACATTATACGAGAATATCTACCAGCTTAATACAAATATACCACTCAAGCATGGTATGTGTCGAGTG